TGTTACTGCTGGCCGCATGCATACTGACATACGAACCATAGCCCGGCTGGTCAGGTACTGACTTTAAGTGCCTGTCCAGTGCCTTCTTGAAGACAGCCAGGCGTCTATTGGTAATCCCCCTTATGTATGCTGGGAGGCAGTTGAACAGTCTTGGGCCTCTGACACTCATTGTGTTGTCTCTTCTCGTACTAGTGGCACCCCTGGTTTTCATTGGGGGGATGTTGCATCGCCTGCCGAGTGTTTTGCTTTCATAGGGAGTGATTTTCGTGTGCAAGTTTGGTACTAAATCCCTTTAGGATTTTCCAAGTGTATATAATCATGTATCTCTCCCGTCTGTATTCCTAACCTAAAAAATAAAAAGGCACAATACAGTGGACCCCCGCTTTACGATCAGCTCCCAATGCGACCAATTATGTAAGTGTATTTATGTAAGTGCATTTGTACATGTATGTTTGGGGGTCTGAAATGGACTAATCTAATTCACAATATTCCTTATGGGAACAAATTCGGTCAGTACTGGCACCTGAACATACTTCTGGAATGAAATAATATCGTAAACCGGGGGTCCACTGTACTACTACTGACTGGAACAATACACAAATAATCTGCACATTAGTGTCTAGCTTTTGAACTGAGCAGTTGGTTCTCTTAAAAAGCTCTTTAATATAATTTTTTTTATAAATGTGAATGAAAACGTATGTCTAAAATGAAATAGCATGTATTATTAATGTCTGTATGTGCATTATGCAATTTTGGATCTACCTTTTTAATCATGTTCAGAAAATATTACACTAGAGAAGCATTACAAGAAAATATTACACTAGAATAACTGTAGTGTAAAGCACCCTTCTGGCAAGACAGTGATGGAGTGAATGATGGTGAAAGTTTTTCTTTTTTGGGCCACCCTACCTTGGTGGGCCACCCTGCCTTGGTGGCCACCCTGCCTTGGTGGGTCACCCTGCCTTGGTGGGCCACCCTGCCTTGGTGGCCACCCTGCCTTGGTGGGCCACCCTGCCTTGGTGGGCCACCCTGCCTTGGTGGGCCACCCTGCCTTGGTGGCAACCCTGCCTTGGTGGGCCACCCTGCCTTGGTGGGCCACCCTGCCTTGGTGGGCCACCCTGCCTTGGTGGGCCACCCTGCCTTGGTGGGCCACCCTGCCTTGGTGGGCCACCCTGCCTTGGTGACCACCCTGCCTTGGTGGGCCACCCTGCCTTGGTGGCCACCCTGCCTTGGTGGGAATCGGCCAGTGTGATAATAATAATAAAAAAAAAAATTACAAGAAAATTGTATATTATTGGGACTCCAGTGGTGCATTTTATCACACATATTCTGATTCCTTAAAAATTTTTGTGACCAAAATCTTCCAAAATAAAAATTTGACCGAGGAATAACAGCTTTTGCCTTGTATGTTAAAAATAAATAGACTGCAGCCAAGTAATTACATTCAACACTGACCTATTATTTCACTCCCGGGGAGGAGCGTTTAATCCATAGGGATCCTGTGGCTGGATTGGTAGTGCACTCAGCTCACACATTTGAGGCCCATGGTTTGATCTCTGGTATGGGTGGAAACAATGGAGCATTTCCTCAAGACACCTGTTGTCCCTGTTCACCTTGCAGTAAGTAGGTACCTGGGTGTTAGTAGACTGATGTGGGTTGCATAACCAGGGGCTTCCTATATAGTATGTAACTGATGTCAGCTATGGTCTGTATAAGTTGTATCATGTACTGGTAGTAAATAAAAATAAAGATTATTATTATAGTATTATTATTATTATGATGATGATGATACAGTGGCTCAGGGAATAGAAGGCAATCAAGCTCAATCCAAGAAAGGATTGGACAGATTCAATTTTTAGGATTGAGAGGAACTTACTACAGTACCATGAAGACTCACTTGAAGGGAAGGGGAGAGTGGCAGCAGCTCCTGCTCCTGCTAATAACAATAATAATGTAAATAATAATTGAACTTCAAGTAATTCAATAAAACTATCCCCATTAACTTTGGTTTTTATTTTAATTTGTACATTTATGAAATCTTGGCTAGAACAATACTATCCTTTTGTGGGAAGTTACATATAAATAATAAACCAAAGACAGTGAATCATAAAAGAAGAATCAAGATAGTGTGTCTTAGAGAAGATTCAAGATAGTGTATCTTAGAGAAGATTTAAGATAGTGTATAACAACAAGGGTTGAACATTAAAATGGTATAAAATACCGACAGGTTGTTAGGTAAGACACATATGCAACAGTTAGGTATCTTTATTTCGAAACGTTTCGCCTACACAGTAGGCTTCTTCAGTCGAGTACAGAAAAGTTGATAGAAGCAGAAGAGACTTGAAGACGATGTAATCAGTCCATCATCCTTAAAGTTTTGAGGTGGTCAGTCCCTCAGTCTGGAGAAGAGCATTGTTCCATAATGTTTCAGAATATGGAACAATACTCTTCTCCAGACTGAGGGACTGACCACCTCAAAACTTTAAGGGTGATGGACTGATTACATCGTCTTCAAGTATCTTCTGCTTCTATCAACTTTTCTGTACTCGACTGAAGAAGCCTACTGTGTAGGCGAAACGTTTCGAAATAAAGATACCTAACTGTTGCATATGTGTCTTACCTAACAACAACAAGGGTGCATTCTGCAATACAGTATTACTGTAATATAGATACAACATTACTGTATTACATAAATACTGTAATGCAAATATAATGTTTTATCAAATTTATATATCATATAAAAGTCAAATAGCTTTAGCCAAGATAATCTTATCTTACATGTAGTTGTGTTAGCCTCTCTATCTTACACCTTGTAGATACTTGAACTTAATGATGTGAATTATCTCTTTACCAGCTCACAGATAACACAATATACATATTATCATTTACCGAAAGTAACCTATGAGAGAGTAAAGTAACAATGCCGTGGCTGGAATAAATCATAAATAACCCCTCTTAGGTTACATGATGGTGACATGACAATGGTCCAGGATGGGCCAAAATGCATGGTGACAGTTCTGGCCCAATTGGTCCATTGTAGTTGTGACTCAGCAGTGATCCAGGATGACCCAAAATGCATGGTGATGTTCTGGTCCAACTTGGTCCATTGTAGTTATGACTTAACAATGGTCCAGAATGACCCAAAATGCATGATCTTCTGGTCAAACTTGGTCCAATGTAGTTGTGATTCAACAATGGTCCAAGATGAACCAAAATGCATGATGATGTTCTGGTCCAACTTGGTCCATTGTGGTTGTGAGATGACATTGGTCCAGAATGGATTGAAATATCATGATAAACATCTTCTCTCCTACATGTGGGTTATTTGTAAAGTGTGGGAATCAAGACTGTCCCCACAAGTCTGGTAGAGAATATGTGTGTACAGTAAACCTTTCATTTAAAGTCTATGTTGCACTCTAAACACCCAACAACTAGGCAAGGGCAGCTAGGTAACGTTTCTGCACATGGAGGATCGAGCCCTCATTACAAGTGGCTTTTAATGACCCACACAGGTCTAGCACTTGAAATACAATAATAATCTAAAAGAGTTGTATCAATTCATTCAATACAGTTGTATCAATTGCAACTGAGTATATGTATAAAGTTCTGTCGGAGTGTGAGCAAAGTGTCACTTATAAAGGTTAGCCAGACTTGAATCCTGAAGGTGGGAAGTATTAGCATATGGAGAAATTTATCTTGAAATCCCCCACATAGTGCCTGCACTCTGGAGGATGGGTGAGGATGCTACAGTATGGAGGGTCATCTGAGCTGTGATGTTAGCACACTTCTGGCAGGACAGTAGCTGACTGAATGATAATGAGTGTTTTTTCTTTTCTTGTGGGCCACCCTGCCTTGATGGAATTTGAACTAAAAAGACAAAGTTTACTCTGATGTGCCACTTACTACCAACTCAATAAGTTACTCAAAATTTCAGAACAAAATAACAGGTTAGAAGGCACATGCTGAAAGATATGGCCCAAGACAAGTAGACAAAAGTTTTAATTGAGATAATGTTTTCCTCTAGAGCTTTTATTGTAAATTTTTCCCACTAGGTAGAGCCTTTCAAGTCAAAATTTGACAAAACTCTACTCACAGTCAGAGCCGGATTAAGATTCGTAGGCCTGGGCAACGGGTTTACTGTGAGGTCCTGGCTAACAGGTACGTGAAGCCTGGCACAGTACTAAGACCTGGGCTACAGGGTCTGTGAGGCCCTGGCTACAGAGTACTGTGAGGCCCTGGCTACAGTATGTGAGGCCTAGTACAGCACTGTGAGTTCCCTGGCTATGGTACTGTAGCCCTGGCTACAGTACTAAAGCCCTTTGGGCACAGGGTAACTGTGAGCCCTGCTACAGATCTGTGGGGCCCTGGGATACAGATTACTAGGCCCCTGGGCTACAGGGTACTGTGAGGCCCCTGGGCTACAGGTACTGTGAGGCCCCTGGGCTACAGGGTACTGTGAGGCCCCTGGGCTACAGGGTACTGTGAGGCCCCTGGGCTACGGGGTACTGTTAAGCCCCAAATGATATTTTCAAAAGGAAAAAACTAATCACACCAGTGAAGAGTTCATTATATACATGATGAAATAACATACTGAAGTTATAAACTTGACTTTCGTTTTTCTTTTTAGGTCAACCTGCCTTGGTGGGGAAAAAAAATATATAAATTTACAGCAATAGCTGTGAACACTTGTCACTTAATCTCTGGAGGCCCTCCAGCTGGAGGACCCTGGAGGCCCTCCAGCTGGTAGAGGACCCTGGAGGCCCTCCAGCTGGTAGAGGACCCTGGAGGCCCTCCAGCTGGTAGAGAGGACCCTGGAGGCCCTCCAGCTGGTAGAGGACCCTGGAGGCCCTCCAGCTGGTAGAGGACCCTGGAGGCCCTCCAGCTGGTAGAGGACCCTGGAGGCCCTCCAGCTGGAGGACCCTGGGCTGCAGGCCATAAACTCCAGGCCTTAATCCAGCCCTGCTTAGAGTAACAGTGTTATTATTATTATTATTATTACATTCATGGGGAAGCAGTGCACTGGTGAAAGTTGAACCGAACCTTGGAAATGAGAAGCAATAGGTTCCAGCCAAGAAAAAGGAAGATAGATCTGTTTCCTTGGATTTAGATCTCCACCTTCATCAAGAAAGGAAACATTATCCAAATAAAGGTTTGTTTTCCATACTTCCAAACTTTGAACATAAATAAAATGCTGGTTTACCATATCCTTTGATTTCTTTGATAGTTCATTATATATAAATTTTTACTTTTTAACGTCTTCCTTTAGCATTGTAAAGCCCAATACAGGGACCAGCTCTAGGGTAGCTTTTTAAAGTTTAAGTCCAATTAGGTCACATAAAATGGTGACATTGCTCTAGCCAATAGGGTAACTCTAATTCATCTTCTAATAACCAATCAGAGAGCCTAACTCCATCCCAAGGAAAGAGAGTCGAGGTGTGAGAAGTGTAATTCGAGATTTGGATGAGGGTGGTTCCTAATCATTCACAGTTGTTCATATGTAGGAATAACAATACCGAAGCCGTTCAGAAGAGTCGAACTGATATTTAACGTTATTTAACTTTAACCCGTAAACGGACCAAGCAGGATCTACGTTCACATGCGTAGTGTTACAAAAGTAGATCTACGTTTTTTTAACATATTTTCAAATATAACAAAAAAAAAAAGATCTACTTTTTTACATACTTTCAAATGTTGAAAAAACGTATATATACGTTTGGACCGTTTACGGGTTAAACTATCCAAACGTAGATCTACGCTCACATGCGTAGTGCTCCGAATGTAGATCTACAATTGATTTTACATTGTTTCTTATGTAAAAAAAAGTAGATCTACGTTTGGACAGTTTAAGGGTTGATGGGAATAAAAATTGGATATTAACTGTTTGGAATGACATCTAAATTGTCGTATCTGAGCGCCTCTACAAAGTAAGTGGTTGTGTGAATGATGGTGAAAGTGTTTTTCTTTCTTTTTTGGGTCATCCTGCCTCAGCAGGAGACAGCTGACATGTTAAAAAAATCCATATGATTTTACACAAAATGGTCAAATTTTTACCTATACACTTATGCCTCACTCTCCGCCATTGTTGGATTTGGGGGCACCTTTATTTTCAAGGCTGTTTGGACTCTCAAAATTTCATTAATGTAACATTATGGCAAAAGTTACAAGAGTTAAAAAGGTCTTAGAAAGAACCAATCAATAGCATACTAAAAACACATCCAAATCCCTCCATTATTTCTACGATTCAATGCTGTTGGGTTAACTACATCTCGATGGAAGTTTATTGGTATTTTCCAACTGCACTTTCAGCACAAATCCCACACATCTTCAGTCGTGTTATAAACTTTCCAAGATTTACAATCACCGATAAGGTATGTTATGACAACCTTCAAAAGGGGTAGTCTTGATGCTGTGGAAGGGCTCTTGATTCAAGAAACTGGAGCTAACTTGAGTTTGTCAAATGTTATGACAAAAAGTGCAGCACTACTTAAAACTAAGCCTTATAAATTTTAATTTTTATTCTTTGGCTGCAGTAATAATGAAATATATAAATAGAGACTGATCGGATATTAGTAATTAGTCTTAAAATACTCCAGATTGCAAATCTAACTAGAAACAAATAAATTATAATAATGTCCTGTGCAATGGTTTTAAATCCTGTTCACTTCTTGAGCTTCAGAGCGATCTGAGGCATCTTCTGACATTCAAAATTTTAGTAACAATATCCATATAAATAAACTAGCTGATATTACATTGTGTAGACACACACATTTAATCAAAAGATTAATTACAATATTTAACACAAATACTTTCGTTTTTCCTTTTGGGCCGCCCCGCCTCGGTGGGATACGGCCGGTGTGTTGAAAGAAAGATTTAACACAAATGCAACATCTAAGACGTATTAGAACAGACTCTTGCATGAGCTTGGTGGTACATTTGCCGAGTATAGACACGACCACAACCGCATGTAAAACTGGCCTTACTAGGATGCCTGACTCTTAAGTGAGTAACCAAGGTGTCCATCTCTCTGTGATGTTCCTGACAATGTGGACAAGTGAAGGGATGTGGATCTTCCGCAATAACATTAATATCTGCTGTCACATCTGGGTCAGATTTGACAGGTAATGCTGGACTGGTATCGTGTACTGAACTCGTCGAGGTTGTTGGGTGGTCAAGGGGGTCGTAGGAAGGTGAAAATGTTGACAAATTCTGCTGGAAAGTTGGATCTAGCTTCCCTGGAGGCTGGGAAGATGAATCTTTTGTAATTTGTTCTTCATTTTCCTCTTCATCTGCACTTTGAACTTCCTGCAAAACAAAATACCATAATATTCACTTTGAACTTCCTGCATTGCAAAATACCATAACATTCAATTTGAACTTCTTGCAATACAAAAAAAAAATCCTTAAACTTCTTGCATTGCAAAATACCATAACATTCAATTTGAACTTCTTGCAATACAAAAAAAAAAAATCTTTTTTAAGTTGTTTGAATTCCTGGGATTCTTCTACTAATGCCATTCTATGGAAGAGGTACTACAATAATACAAGAAAATATTTCTCTTAATGATGCAGCAGCACGAGACAGTAAGTACTGTATTTTTTAGTACATATATAAGGTGTACTTTTTTCCTCTCAGAAGAGTCTTGGAAAAATCATCCTGTGCCTTATATGCTCAAGGTTAAACTTTAGCAGTTGCTTACTAACGTTATGTTATAACTGCTTGGAAACATGGTACCACAAGCACCCTTGTAAGTCAAAAAATACAGCAAGTGTAATGTCTCAAACTGTCATGCTTTTTGTGCTCAATGGTTAATGTAATATAGTGAAAAATCAACCATTAACTGAAAAAAAGCATCTGCATCTGCAGGGCTTTAATTAAGTTCATTAGCCTCCTCTTCCCTCACACTGGAGGCTGCACCACTGGTCTAGACACTCTAAAAATGACTTATGAAATTGTAATATTACAACTGAAAACTAGTCATAGAACAGGTGGGGTTTAAACCCATGGCGAGTGAATCATAAAACTCAGTGCTTAACCCCTTAACAGTCCAAATGTAGATCTATGTTCTCTTGCCCAGCACTCTGAATATTTTGAAGGAAAAAAAAAAGTTTTTTAAATTAAAGAGGGCAATTTTCTGTGTGTAATAAGACCAAAAATAAATTTTACGGTCAGTACTTACCGGGATATAAAACCGCAAAGTTGGCGCTGGATGCTCACCTGATGGCAACATGGAATCCTGCCGCTTGCAGAAGTGTTCCCGATATACCTTTTTTTCCTCTTTTTTTTTTTTAATTTATATAATTTTTATGTACTGATATTACAATTTGTAGTAGTTCTTGTGATTTCATAGCCAATGTTTGTTCTGACACTAATATTAGGTACTGAAATAGTACTCAAATAGTCACAAACACACTGACAGGTGAACATTTTCACCTGCCTTGGTCACCTACTATTGTCTAGAAATACACTATATATGTACAAAGTATTTTTAGGTCCCAGCAATATTTTAGACATGCTGGAGTATATATGAAACTCCTTGAAGCACGGTGTAAGACGAGGGTAACTCCAGTGCTGACAGTGCGGCAGTGGAGTGACACTTGATGATCCTGCACTGCCTTGGCTTTATTTGTTGTCACTTACATATAAACACATCTATCTGTTTGTCTGTCTATCTGTCTAGCTCTGTCTCTGTTTATCTGTCTTTCTGTCTGCCTATGTGACTGTCTTCCTGTCTCTATCTGCTTGTCTTTCTTTCTGTCTCAGAGGGCCACTCATGAACTAACAGATATTACACACAATGCAGAGTCGTCACGTCTGATTCCTAAACAAGTGAAAATGCGTATTACTTGCCAGTCATACTTATTATGCCTTATATCTACAAGCAAAGTACAGCACTTTGTCTGGATTTTTTGGGTTATCCTAGGTAATTTACACTATGTATAATAATTATATATTTGTACCTGTTATAGGTAGTAGGTTGGTAGACAGCAACAACCCAGGGAGGTACTACCGTCCTGCCAAGTGAGTGTAAAACGAAAGCCTGTAATTGTTTTACTTGATGGTAGGATTGCTGGTATCTTTTTTCTGTCTCATAAACATGCAAGATTTCAGGTATGTCTTGCTACTTCTACTTACACTTAGGTCACACTACACATACATATACAAGCACATATATACACACCCCTCTGGGTTTTCTTCTATTTTCTTGCTGATTCTTTTTTTTTTTTTATTTTTTTTTTTATTATCACACCGGCCGATTCCCACCAAGGCAGGGTGGCCCGAAAAAGAAAAACTTTCACCATCATTCACTCCATCACTGTCTTGCCAGAAGGGTGCTTTACACTACAGTTTTTAAACTGCAACATTAACACCCCTCCTTCAGAGTGCAGGCACTGTACTTCCCATCTCCAGGACTCAAGTCCGGCCTGCCGGTTTCCCTGAATCCCTTCATAAATGTTACTTTGCTCACACTCCAACAGCACGTCAAGTATTAAAAACCATTTGTCTCCATTCACTCCTATCAAACACGCTCACGCATGCCTGCTGGAAGTCCAAGCCCCTCGCACACAAAACCTCCTTTACCCCCTCCCTCCAACCCTTCCTAGGCCGACCCCTACCCCGCCTTCCTTCCACTACAGACTGATACACTCTTGAAGTCATTCTGTTTCGCTCCATTCTCTCTACATGTCCGAACCACCTCAACAACCCTTCCTCAGCCCTCTGGACAACAGTTTTGGTAATCCCGCACCTCCTCCTAACTTCCAAACTACGAATTCTCTGCATTATATTCACACCACACATTGCCCTCAGACATGACATCTCCACTGCCTCCAGCCTTCTCCTCACTGCAACATTCATCACCCACGCTTCACACCCATATAAGAGCGTTGGTAAAACTATACTCTCATACATTCCCCTCTTTGCCTCCAAGGACAAAGTTCTTTGTCTCCACAGACTCCTAAGTGCACCACTCACTCTTTTTCCCTCATCAATTCTATGATTCACCTCATCTTTCATAGACCCATCCGCTGACACGTCCACTCCCAAATATCTGAATACGTTCACCTCCTCCATACTCTCTCCCTCCAATCTGATATTCAATCTTTCATCACCTAATCTTTTTGTTATCCTCATACCTTACTCTTTCCTGTATTCACCTTTAATTTTCTCTTTTGCACACCCTACAAATTCATCCACCAATCTCTGCAACTTCTCTTCAGAATCTCCCAAGAGCACAGTGTCATCAGCAAAGAGCAGCTGTGACAACTCCCACTTTGTGTGTGATTCTTTATCTTTTAACCTCCACGCCTCTTGCCAAGACCCTCGCATTTACTTCTCTTACAACCCCATCTATAAATATATTAAACAACCACGGTGACATCACAACATCCTTGTCTAAGGCCTACTTTTACTGGGAAAAAATTTCCCTCTTTCCTACATACTCTAACTTGAGCCTCACTATCCTCGTAAAAACTCTTCACTGCTTTCAGTAACCTAACCTCCTACACCATACACTTGCAACATCTGCCACATTGCCCCCTATTCCACCCTGTCATACGCCTTTTCCAAATCCATAAATGCCACAAAGACCTCTTTAGCCTTATCTAAATACTGTTCACTTATATGTTTCACTGTAAACACCTGGTCCACACACCCCCTACCTTTCCTAAAGCCTCCTTGTTCATCTGCTATCCTATTCTCCGTCTTACTCTTAATTCTTTCAATTATAACTCTACCATACACTTTACCAGGTACACTCAACAGACTTATCCCCCTATAATTTTTGCACTCTCTTTTATCCCCTTTGCCTTTATACAAAGGAACTATGCATGCTCTCTGCCAATCCCTAGGTACCTTACCCTCTTCCATACATTTATTAAATAATTGCACCAACCACTCCAAAAACTATATCCCCACCTGCTTTAACATTTCTATCTTTATCCATCAATCCCGGCTGCCTTACCCCCTTTCATTTTACCTACTGCCTCACGAACTTCCCCCACACTCACAACTGGCTCTTCCTCACTCCTACAAGATGTTATTCCTCCTTGCCCTATACACGAAATCACAGCTTCCCTATCTTCAATCAACATTTAACAATTCCTCAAAATATTCCCTCCATCTTCCCAATACTCTAACTCTCCATTTAATAACTCTCCTCTCCTATTTTTTAACTGACAAATCCATTTGTTCTCTAGGCTTTCTTAACTTGTTAATCTCACTCCAAAACTTTTTCTTATTTTCAACAAAATTTGTTGATAACATCTCACCCACTCTCTCATTTGCTCTCTTTTTACATTGCTTCACCACTCTCTTAACTTCTCTCTTTTTTCCCATATACTCTTCCCTCCTTGCATCACTTCTACTTTGTAAAAACTTCTCATATGCTAACTTTTTCTCCCTTACTACTCTCTTTACATCATCATTCCACCAATCGCTCCTCTTCCCTCCTGCACCCACTTTCCTGTAACCACAAACTTCTGCTGAACACTCTAACACTACATTTTTAAACCTACCCCATACCTCTTCGACCCCATTGCCTATGCTCTCATTAGCCCATCTATCCTCCAATAGCTGTTTATATCTTACCCTAACTGCCTCCTCTTTTAGTTTATAAACCTTCACCTCTCTCTTCCCTGATGCTTCTATTCTCCTTGTATCCCATCTACCTTTTACTCTCAGTGTAGCTACAACTAGAAAGTGATCTGATATATCTGTGGCCCCTCTATAAACATGTACATCCTGAAGTCTACTCAACAGTCTTTTATCTACCAATACATAATCCAACAAACTACTGTCATTTCGCCCTATAATCATATCGTGTATACTTATTTATCCTCTTTTTCTTAAAATATGTATTACCTATAACTAAACCCCTTTCTATACAAAGTTCAATCAAAGGGCTCCCATTATCATTTACACCTGGCACCCCAAACTTACCTACCACACCCTCTCTAAAAGTTTCTCCTACTTTAGCATTCAAGTCCCCTACCACAATTACTCTCTCACTTGGTTCAAAGGCTCCTATACATTCACTTAACATCTCCCAAAATCTCTCTCTCTCCTCTGCATTCCTCTCTTCTCCAGGTGCATACACGCTTATTATGACCCACTTCTCGCATCCAACCTTTACTTTAATCCACATAATTCTTGAATTTACACATTCATATTCTCTTTTCTCCTTCCATAACTGATCATTTAACATTACTGCTACCCCTTCCTTTGCTCTAACTCTCTCAGATACTCCAGATTTAATCCCATTTATTTCCCCCCACTGAAACTCTCCTACCCCCTTCAGCTTTGTTTCGCTTAGGGCCAGGACATCCAACTTCTTTTCATTCATAACATCAGCAATCATCTGTTTCTTGTCATCCGCACTACATCCACGCACATTTAAGCAACCCAGTTTTATAAAGTTTTTCTTCTTCTCTTTTTTAGTAATTGTATACAGGAGAAGGGGTTACTAGCCCATTGCTCCCGGCATTTTAGTCGCCTCATACGACACGCATGGCTTACAGAGGAAAGATTCTTTTCCACTTCCCCATGGACAATAGAAGAAATAAAAAAGAACAAGAGCTATTTAGAAAAAGGAGAAAAACCTAGATGTATGTATATATATATATGCATGTGCGTGTCTGTGAAGTGTGACCAAAGTGTAAGTAGGAGTAGCAAGATATCCCTGTTATCTTGGCGTGTTTATGAGACAGAAAAAGAAACCAGCAATCCTACCATCATGCAAAACAGTTACAGGTTTTTGTTTCACAGTCATCTGGCAGGACGGTAGTACTTCCCTGGGTGGTTGCTGTCTACCTACCTTATTCTTGTTTATTTCCTCTTATCTCCGTGGGGAAGTGGAACAAAATTCTTCCTTCATAAGCCATGCGTGTCGTAAGAGGTGACTAAAATGCCAGGAGCAGGGGACTAGTAACCTCTTCTCCTGTACATATTACTAAATGTAAAAGGAGAAACTTTCGTTTTTCCTTTTGAGCCGCCCCACCTCGGTGGGATACGGCCGGTGTGTTGAAAGAAAGAAGAAAGATTTGTACCTGTGAGTCAGAGATAGACAGAGATACAGAAACAGGCAGAGATAGATACAGACAGACAGACAGGCAGAGATAGATGTAGACAGACAGACAGGCAGAGATAGATATAGACAGACAGACAGACAAAGACAGAGACAACCAAAATCAATCAACCACCCAACCAGCCAGCCACCGCCCAGCCAGCCAGCCAGCCGGCCTGCCAAACACATATTACACATGTTCCAGAATTGTTTCTTTTTACTTAGGACAGGTTATAGGACATTCTGGCAGGATGACACTACCAGTGGTATCAAAATTGAAAAGATGTTGCAGAAATGTTGCACATGGGTGATTATTGAGGTTTTTGATATTTCCTCAAACACTTGTGGCCACATCCATCTCAAAGCCACTAAACTCAGGGTCAACATCACTTTCCTCTTAAAAGGGAAGTGTTAATATGACACGAAATCAATGAATCCCTCGTGTTTGCCATGCTGTTTGCTCTAGTTTACACTCAACTGAACTGGTGTTCCTACAAGGTACTAAGGGGTCCCAGATTTTTTTAATACTGTACACACTGAGTGTTCAGACCCATTCTATACTGACCATGCATCTCAGACCAATTGTCCCAAATTTGGAGGCAGGAAAAATAAAACATTGATCTACATTTGGAGTGCTAGCGGTAAGAATGTAGATCTATGTTTGGACAGCAAGGGGTTAATGCACCGGCCTAGAATTTTAAGACTCACTTGCCATGGCTTCAAACCCCACCCAGTCCCTGATTTGATTACACTTTGTAAATCAATGTTTCACAACCTGGAATGCATGTACAACGTAAAACAATGGACACCTGTACTAAATATGCAAGAATGAGGTAAATTATGTACAGCAGAACTCCTGTTTCACCAATTCGTTATCCGCAGTTTCAGTTATCCATGGTTTACTGTGGCCCAAAAATACCTCTTAATTTTGCATAATAACAACCCCAAAGCCACAAAAGTAGAGAAGCTGGACATGTGTCTTCACCAAGTGCTGGAACAACCAGGCTGTGATGGATACGTGGGGCAGCAGGCCTCCAGCAGCAACAGCCTGGTTGACCAGGCAAGCACCAGATGAGCCTGGCCCATGGCCAGACTCTGAGAGTAGGTAAGCCAGCAGCTGTTCAAAGCCTAAGAGAAGTTGCGAAGAGCTTCCCATCAGTTAAAAAGTGATATGTCTCCATATATTGTGCATAATTTATCAATTAATCTTTATACAGTGGACCCCCGCATAACGATTACCTCCAAATGTGACCAATTATGTAAGTATATTTATGTAAGTGCGTTTGTACGTGTATGTTTGGGGGTCTGAAATGGACTAATCTACTTCACAATATTTCTTATGGGAACAAATTCGGTCAGTACTGGCACCTGAACATACAGTGGACCCCCGCATAACGATGGCATCGCATAGCGATTTTTCCGCATAACGATTACTTTTATCGCAAAATTTTTGCCCCGCATACCGATTAAAAACCCGCATACCGATTTTCGTCCGAGACGCGTCCAATGTGCCCTCACATGTGCCGGCCGTCCCATTGTTTACCAGCCAGCCTCCGCGGTAACATCCAAGCATACACTCGGAATATTTCGTATTATTACAGTGTTTTCGGTGGTGTTTCTGGAAAATAAGTGACCATGGGCCCAAGAAAGCTTCTAGTGCCAACCCTGTGGTAAAAAGGGTGAGAATTATTATGGAAATTAAGAAAGATTTTGAAGGGTTTGGGGCTAACCCTGAGAAGCCTATGCCAGTTGTGGAATCCATTGTGCCTACTTCAAAGATTAAGGAAATGTGTGCAGAGTGGTTTGAACTGCAAACCTTTATAGATGAAAATCACCCTGACACAGCTGTTGCAAGCCGTGCTGGTGACTATTTCAATGACAATGTTATGGCCCATTTTAGGAAAGTCTTGAAGAAAACGGGAGGTACAGAGCTCTATGGACAGATTTGTTGTGCGACAGAGGTCCAGTGACTCTGAAGCTGGTCCTAGTGGCATTAAAAGAAGAAGGGAAGTAACCCCAGAAAAGGACTTGCTACCTCAAGTCCTAATGGAAGGGGATTCCCCTTCTAAACAGTAAGAAGATAATGCTCTCCCCTCCTCCCATCCCATCAATCATCACCAGATCTTCAATAAAAGTAAGTGTCATGTAATTGTGCATGCCTTTTTCAGTTTGTGTGTATTAAAATTAACATTTCATGTGGTAAAAAAAAATTTTTTTTTCATACTTTTGGGCGTCTTGCACGGATTAATTTTATTTCCATTATTTCTTATGGGGAAAATTAATTCGCATAACGATTATTTCGCATAACGATGAGCCCTCTTGCACGGATTAAAATCGTTAACCGGGGGTCCACTGTACTTCTGGAGTGAAAAAATATCGTTAACCGGGGGTCCACTGTAATAGGTATGTACAGGACTTATATATAGGGTTTGCTACCATCCACAGTTTCGGTGTCCACGGCAGGTCCTTGGAGCATATACCCTGTGGATACGAGGGTCCTACTGTATAAACATTAGATCCTTTTAAATTAAGTGACTACTAACCTCTTTTACACAGGTCATATCAACATCCATAAAGTCTGTGGGATTGATCATGCTGTCTCTGGATTTGGGTCTAGCAGGCGGAGTTGAGGTTTGATGAGATGATGTTTTAACTGTTCTTGAAGGCCTGGATGCTGAGGCAAGGTTAGAAGATGATGATGATGAGGAAGCAGATGAAGATCGAACATTTCCTGCCGTTGAACAATCAGTGTGGGGATTGACAGTAGCGGAGGAATCAGACGGAGCTAAGCCCGAGACCTGGAGAATCTCTGCCGTCTTCAGAAGTGAAGTTAAATCTTCAGCTGCCACTGTCATTTCACCTCTGAAAAAATTAAGGAAATGTAAGTGTATTTTTTCTCTATGGGAAAGTGAAAAAGAATCTTATGTCCATAAGCTGTGTGTGTCATAAGAAGTGACCGAAAGATAGGGAGCAAGAAGACAGTAACTCCTTTTCCAGTATAAATTACTAAATGTAAAAGGAAGGAAAGTTTTTGTCTCTCCTTTTCCGAGTCACCTTGGGAGGGGAGACAGCCAGTGTCTTAAAGAAAAAAAAAAAAGCATTTTTTAACTCACTAGCTGTCTCCCACACAAGGTACGGTGACTTGAAAAAAGAGGAAACACTTTCACCATCATTCATTCAATCACTGTCTTGCCAGATACATCCTGACATAATTCAGATGACCCTCTGAACTATATTTTCACCTCTCTTTCAGAGTGCAGGTACTCTGAAAGAGGGATAACTGGTTTCAAACCACGGAACGGGTGGGGTTTGAACCCATGGTTCAACAACCCTACCCATTCCCTGGTTTGTTCACAATTGTGTTATCAGGATTTTGTGAGTCGTAACTGGTTTCCCCTGAATTCCTTCATAAATGTTACCTTGCTCACACTCCAACAGCACATCAAATCAGAAAAACCACTCATCATGACTCACTAACGCATATAAGCCTCTACGTGCAATGTATATTTTGTAATTAGATTTTTATAATATTTACGGAGAAACAAAATCCTCAAGGAGTCGTGCATCATCACTGGAATAGATGATTATTATGATATTCTTGAGGAAGAGCTAAACATGTAGGGTTTATAAAATGCCTAGAAATGGGGGAAAATAAGGCTTGATCCATAGCCAGATTCAATATAATTTTATTCCTTAACTTTGTAAATGGTCCAAGTCGGACCGAAACGTCGTCGTAAGCTCCTCTCTTCTATGTGCGGGTTATTTGTGTATTTGCTCTTATTACTAAATTTAAAAAGAAAAACTTGGGGTTTTCTTTGTAAGTCGCCCCAAGGCAGGGTGCCTTGCGGGTACGGCCAGTATGTTGAAAAAAAATGATGGCCAGTTTGTTGGGTACATCACTTTGCAGTGATTTTTACCCAAGACCTGTTTTAAGAGTTTTCCTGCTCTCACAGCTTGGCTCTGAGCCAGGCCTCCTTATTGATTGCCTGGTCAACCAAGCTATTGTTGTTGGCAGTCCAGTCATCCATCAGTCTGGTTTATCTGGTACACCCCAGAGTAGTGATCCAGTTTCCCCTTGAAGACTTTTACAATGGTTCCACCTTAGTACAGGGGACTCTACAGTACAGTGCAGCACAGTATGCTACAGTGCAGCACAGTATGCTACAGTGCAGCACAGTATGCTACAGTGCAGCACAGTATGCTACAGTACAGCACAGTATGCTACAGTGCAGCACAGTATGCTACAGTACAGCACAGTATGCTACAGTACAGCACAGTATGCTACAGTACAGCACAGTATGCTACCGTACAGCACAGTATGCTACAGTACAGCACAGTATGCTACAGTACAGCACAGTATGCTACCGTACAGCACAGTATGCTACAGTACAGCACAGTATGCTACAGTACAGCACAGTACGCTACAGTACAGCACAGTATGCTACAGTACAGCACAGTATGCTACCGTACAGCACAGTATGCTACCATACAGCACAGTATGCTACAGTACAGCACAGTATGCTACTGTACAGCACAGTATGCTAGAGTACAGCACAGTATGCTACAGTACAGCACAGTATGCTACAGTACAGCACAGTATGCTACAGTACAGCACAGTATGCTACAGTACAGCACAGTATGCTACAGTGCAGCACAGTATGCTACAGTACAACACAGTATGCTACAGTACAGCACAGTATGCTACAGTACAGCACAGTATGCTACAGTACAGCACAGTATGCTACAGTACAGCACAGTATGCTACAGTGCAGCACAGTATGCTACAGTACAACACAGTATGCTACAGTACAGCACAGTATGCTACAGTACAACACAGTATGCTACAGTACAGCACAGTCTGCTACAGTACAGCACAGTATGCTACAGTACAGCACAGTATGCTACAGTGCAGCACAGTATGCTACAGTACAGCACAGTATGCTACAGTACAGCACAGTATGCTACCGTACAGCACAGTACAGCACAGTATGCTACAGTGCAGCACAGTATGCTACAGTACAGCACAGTATGCTACAGTACAGCACAGTATGCTACAGTACAGCACAGTATGCTACAGTACAGCACAGTATGCTACAGTGCAGCACAGTATGCTACCGTACAGCACAGTATGCTACCGTACAGCACAGTATGCTACAGTACAGCACAGTATGCTACAGTACAGCACAGTATGCTACAGTGCAGCACAGTATGCTACAGTGCAGCACAGTATGCTACAGTGCAGCACAGTATGCTACAATACAGGACAGTACAGCACAGTATGCTACAGTACAGCACAGTATGCTACAGTACAACACAGTATGCTACAGTGCAGCACAGTATGCTACAATACAGCACAGTACAACACAGTATGCTACAGTACAGCACAGTATGCTACAGTACAACACAGTATGCTACAGTACAACACAGTATGCTACAGTACAGCACAGTATGCTACAGTACAGCACAGTATGCTACAGTACAGCACAGTATGCTACAGTACAACACAGTATGCTGCTACAATACACTACAATACAGCATAATACAGTACACTACAGTATACACTACAGTACACTACAGTACACTACACTACACTACAGTACAGTACAGTATACTACAGTACATTACAATACACTACAGTACAGTACACTACAGTACACTACACTACAGCACACTACAGTACACTACAGTACAGTATACTACAGTACAGTACACTACAGTACACTACACTACAGCACACTACAGTATACTACAGTACAGTATACTACAGTACAGTACACTACAGTACAGTACACTACAGTATACTACAGTACAGTATACTACAGTACAGTACACTACAGTACAGTACACTACAGTACAGTACACTACAGTATACTACAGTACAGTATACTACAGTACAGTACACTACAGTACAGTACACTACAGTATACTACAGTACAGTATACTACAGTACAGTACACTACAGTACAGTACACTACAGTATACTACAGTACAGTATACTACAGTACAGTACACTACAGTACAGTACACTACAGTATACTACAGTACAGTACACTACAGTACAGTACACTACAGTGCAGTACAGTACACTACAGTGCAGTACAGTACACTACAGTGCAGTACAGTACACTACAGTACATACACTACAGTACATTATGGTACTTACACTGCAGTACACAATGGTACATACACTACAGTACATTATGGTACTTACACTACAGTACATACACTACAGTACATTATGGTACTTACACTGCAGTACACAATGGTACATACACTACAGTACATTATGGTACTTACACTGCAGTACACTACAGTACATACACTACAGTACATTATGGTACTTACACTGCAGTACACAATGGTACATACACTACAGTACATTATGGTACTTACACTGCAGTACACTACAGTACATACACTACAGTACATTATGGTACTTACACTGCAGTACACAATGGTACATACACTACAGTACATTATGGTACTTACACTGCAGTACACTACAGTACATACACTACAGTACATTATGGTACTTACACTGCAGTACACAATGGTACATACACTACAGTACATTATGGTACTTACACTGCAGTACACTACAGTACATACACTACAGTACATTATGGTACTTACACTGCAGTACACAATGGTACATACACTACAGTACATTATGGTACTTACACTGCAGTACACAATGGTACATACACTACAGTACATTATGGTACTTACACTGCAGTACACAATGGTACATACACTACAGTACATTATGGTACTTACACTGCAGTACACAATGGTACATACACTACAGTACATTATGGTACTTACACTGCAGTACACAATGGTACATACACTACAGTACATTATGGTACTTACACTGCAGTACACAATGGTACATACACTACAGTACATTATGGTACTTACACTGCAGTACACAATGGTACATACACTACAGTACATTATGGTACTTACACTGCAGTACACAATGGTACATACACTACAGTACATTATGGTACTTACACTGCAGTACACAATGGTACATACACAACAGTACATTATGGTACTTACACTGCAGTACACAATGGTACATACACTACAGTACATTATGGTACTTACACTGCAGTACACAATGGTACATACACTACAGTACATTATGGTACTTACACTGCAGTACACAATGGTACATACACTACAGTACATTATGGTACTTACACTGCAGTACACAATGGTACATACACTACAGTATAGTACACTAAGGTACAGTACCCACTCTCTTTTAGACTTGCAACAGAATATTTTTTTCAAGACATGATCACTGACTCTCCTACTCAGTAATCCCTCTCTCTGTTTGCCACACATCTTTTATAATGACTATCAACATTAAGTAAGTAGTCCACAACAATGTTTCAAGATATATTGTCTAACACACCGGTCATCTTCCAAATATGTACGGCATTTCAGAAAAGGGAAAATGCTTTCACCGTCACTCATTTAATCACTGTCTTGCCAGAGATAAAGTGACATTATGGTTCAGAAGACCCTCAAAACTGCAACATCACTACTCCTCCTTCAGAGTGCAGGCTATGTACTTCCCACCTCCAGGACTCAAGTCCTGCTAACCAGTTTTTCTGAATTGCTTCATAAATGTTACCTTGCTCACACTCCAACAGAACATCAAATCATAAAAACCACTTGCCTCCACTTGCTCCTACCTAAAACACTCACATAACCAACCTGTTGGATGCCCAAGCCCCTCGCACTTAATACCTCCTTAACTCCCTCCCTCCAACGTTACCTAGGATGACCCCTAATCCTAGTTCCCATCACCCCAGATTTATACACTCCTAGTCATCCTATTTTTCATCATACTCCTTATATGACCAAACCACCTCAACAACCCTTCCTCAGCCCTCTGAACAGTACTTTTAGTAACTCCGTATCTCTTCCTAATCTCCAAATTCTCTGCATAATATTCACAACACATTGCCCTCAAACATGACAGCTGCACTGTTTCCAGCCTCCTCCTCGCTGCTGCAACATTTATAACATAAGAACATAAGAAAGGAGGAACACTGCAGAAGGCCTACCAATACTTCACAGCCATACAATAGTACTGTACCACTATACTTATTTATATTTTCCTTTTAGTCTCATGGATAAGGGTCACTGTCTCCACAGATACCTCAATGCACCATTCACCTTTTTCCCCCTCTTATCAACTGTATTCTATGATTCAAATCATCTCTTGTAGAATCATCCACTGACAAGTCCACTCCCAAATATCAAAACACAAATGGTTCCTCCATACTCCCTCCCTCCAATCTGATATACAATCTCTCATTGCTTATATTTTTTGATATTTTCATCACCTTGTTCCAGTTATTTTAAAACATCTGTGCTTTTTTCTATTCAACGTGATATTGAGGGAGTGAATTTTTCAAATAACTTGTTGAGAGGCAGGGCCAGGAGCTAGGATTTAATCAGAGTGAATCTGGTAAGTGGTATGTTGAGAGGCAGGGCCAGGAGCTAGGATTTGATCAGGGAGTGAATTTGGCAAGTGGTATGTTGAGAGGCAGGGCCAGGAGCTAGGATTTGATCAGGGAGTGAATTTGGCAAGTGGTATGTTGAGAGGCAGGGCCAGGAGCTAGGATTTGATCAGGGAGTGAATTTGGCAAGTGGTATGTTGAGAGGCAGGGCCAGGAGCTAGGATTTGATCAGGGAGTGAATTTGGCAAGTGGTATGTTGAGAGGCAGGGCCAGGAGCTAGGATTTGATCAATGTAACCACATATAGATGAGTACAGCTACTTAATGAATGATGGTGAATGCATTTCTTCCTTTGGGTCGCCCTGCCTTCGTAGGAGACGGCTACTTAGGTAAACCAAAAAATTTTTTTTGACTGTAGCATGCACAGAATATAAAGATCTTTTGGGACAATGTTGCACTCTATGATAGAGCTCTATATAGAGAGAAACGTTATGACTTTCATTCTGTTAGTACTGTTTCACTCTGTGATAAAGCTCTATACAGAGGAAAATAGTCATTATTTCACTCTACGAAAGCTTTAGAGCAAAATATTATGACCTTTAATCCATAATAAAGTTCTATAGAGAGTTAAACATTATAACAATGTTTCACTGTAATAAAACTCTATATAGAGTAAAACAACAACTTGCTCTGTGTATATATATTTTTCACTCTCTGCAACAAGAGCGTGCCATCGCAAGACAAGATGCAACATTCAAGCAGCCATCAGATAAGATCAAGCAATGAATGACAGTCTGGGGAACTTACTTGTATATATAATTAACAATACTGAAGAGTTCTTCGAAGCGCACATCTCGAGGCATGATGATAATGGGGTGCTGACAGGGGTTGTCTCGCAACACTCCTCGGAAGTATGGGCTGACAGCTGACAACACAGACTGCAATACAAAGTGGCATTAGGAACAAAATGGCACAATATCACAACTGGAACAATGCACAAATTCCTTATCCAAGTGGCTATGGGACCTACATATGACGTAGGCAAGTAGCAGCAACAGTACACAAATAACCAACACAGAGAATGAAAGACCAGTTAATGGTCCAAGTCAGACCAAAGCATCGTTGTAGACCAAATTATTATTATAATCAAGGGGGAAGCGCTAAACCCGGAGGATTATACAGCGCCTGGGGGGGGATGTGGAAGACATTCAGGCTTAATTCGGGGAACTGGAGCACAGATCCAATTCCCTAAATCAAGAGCCCCTCACCAACATCAAGGAACCTTCCTTGAGGGGTTGTAGACCAAAGCATCGTTGTAGACCAAAGCATCGTTGTAGACCAAAGCATCGTTGTAGTTTCATTCTACTTCGTGCAGTTTTTTTTGTGCGTTGTTCCAGTCATGGTATTGTGACTTTGTTCTCTAGAGCAACGGTGTAAGCCAGATTACCAGTACAGGCTGTGTACCATAAACTCTCTTATAAAACTCTTCTATATAGTAAACTATTTGTAAATGTGATTGAACAAATATATCCAAAAGTGAAGAGTGGATGGCAGAGCCTTCATAGTGTGTTATTCAATTTCAGATGCACTTTTTTAATTGCATTTAAAACAACCACATTGTATGTCAAAATTTTTACAAGAATTTACGCTATATTTTTTTTGTGTTAATGTGAGTGAAAGAATGGTTCCAGAACTGTACAGCTTGTGGAAAAATACTGATAGTACTCTACAACAAATCATGGAACTGGTGGTACTTGAACCCATGGCAAGAGAGTCTTAAAACTCACAGGCCAGTGTGTTAACCACTGGGCCAGCTGGTTCTAATAAGTTATCCAACTAGGTATATTTCTATATACCATAGGGAGGTTAGCATGGGCCACCACTGTAACCACAAATGAATCTGTGAAAATTTGCATTTGTGGTCACAGTGGTGGCCCATGCTAACTGGTGTACAGAACTATACCTAGTTGGATGAATCTTATCAGAGCCAACTGGCCCAGTGGTTAACACACTGGCCTAGAATTTTAGAAGCCACTTGCCATGGGTTCAAGCCCCACCCATTCCATTATTTTTTTACAATCTTGTTATTACTGTACAGCACTACACTCCATAAATGTGAAAAAAGCAAGTATTGAGCAAAACTAAAGTTGAATACAGTGGACCCCCGCATAACGATCACCTCTGAATGCGACCAATTATGTAAGTGTATTTATGTAAGTGCGTTTGTACGTGTAAGTTTGGGGGTCTGAAATGGACTAATCTATTTCACAATATTCCTTATGGGAACAAATTCGGTCAGTACTGGCACCTGAACATACTTCTGGAGTGAAAAAATATCGTTAACCGGGGGTCCACTGTATATACTACCACTGTGTGTACAATCATGTTTAAATTTGCTAAATAAAACATAAGCTATTTTAACTATGCTGTTTTATAAGATAGAACCTCCTATATAAACAAGGGTAAGAAATTACGCCGGCAAACCTTATGAGCTTTGAGTGAACGTCCTTGTGCCGTTAAGGTGACGTCCATGAAGGACTCGTCGCGAGCCAGAGCCTCCAGGACGATGGTCAGGTGGTTGTTGTGTCGTAACTGGTAACTCTCTGGTGAGGAAAAATAAGATATCACTACAGGTAAACTCCAGGTTTCCAGGTAAACATGTGCTCCTCAAGTTACAATGGGGTTACATTCAGACAAACCCATCGTAAGTCGAAAATATCATAAGTCGAATATGAATATGACATGATAAGTAAATAACTGCTGCCAATGAATAAGTAAATAAACACATAATTACTGTAACTAAATACCAAAATTGAAAAGTAAATAATTACAAGTTAAAGACTTGCCACCTTCATGCTGGGTAATTATCTTAAGTTTCATCTCCAAAGTAATTGCCCCACCATCGAAGTCTAAATATGTAAAGTTTTAAGGCTATTGTAAGTTTTGGGGGAAAGGAAAACTACTTCAAATTTTTTGGAACAAAGGGCAGTAAAAATACCGGAAGCAACGGGGCCAGTAACCCCTTCCGTCATAAATATACATAAATTGTAAGGAGAGAAAATTTTTTTATTTTTTTTCTTTATTTTTTAGGTCACCCTGCCTTGGTGGGATACAGCCGGTATGTTGAAAAACTCACTACTGTTTTACGTTCTCAGGTACACTCGATTTCCTTATAAAGCAATTCTATAAAACGTGAATTTTTTGTAATTTTTTTCAACACATTCGCTGTTTCCCGTCGAGGCACGGTGACCCGAAAAAGAAGAAAAAGTCTCATCATCACTCACTCCATCACTGTCTGGTCAGAGGCATACCAATACTACAGTTTAAAAACTGCAATATCCTCAACCCTGCCTTCAGAGTGAGTGCAGACACTGTACTTCCCACCTCCAGGACTCAAGTCCAGCTAAGTGGTTTCCCTGAATCCCTTCATAAATTTTACCTCTTCACACTCCAACAGCATCAAAAACTGAATAGCACATACTGTACTATGAAGGTTTTTTCTATGTGCTATTTAATTTTGAATTTGACTTTGTAAATGCATTTAAAAAACTCGCACTATATAGAGGGGCTTTAAAAAACAGCTGACTGGTTAACTTTTTTTTTAACAATCATTACAGTGTTAAAACTGACACACTGAAGCCTATACGTGTTTAGTGCCTTTTCCGTGGGGGGATATAACCCTTCAAATGCCTTGGGGCTGGTGAAAAAGCTCTTCATCCAAGGAGATGGAGCTACTCTCTTCTTGGCTCATATCAGACTACCACCCATTCCCCAGGTGATGTATGACCCCTATGGGTTTAGCACTTCCCCTCGAATATAATAATCTGGAAGTATCGAAGGTAAGGAGACTCAAAACGGGATAGTCATTGGTTCTGACAACACGATACAATGATAGCGTACTAACTATCCACTATTCTAATGCCAAATAAATGTAGGAACTTCACCTGCTACTGCAGCATGGGCCAGCAGGACCTGCCTAGCATGGACCAGTAGAACATGTCTATTGGTGGTATTAAATACTGACAAGATGATGAATTAGACATTTGCAACATCTGGGTATCTTTACTTGTAGACGTTTTACCATCCAGCAACTATCAATACAATACATGGGCATAATGTGAAGACTGCAGAAAACTGCACAGCCAACTAGTGGAATATGAGGTAATCAGTCCCTCAGTCTAGGAGCAAGTGATGTGTATCATAGTCTTCAAGACTCTGAAGAACAGGCTGAAAAATTGGTGCTTATATACTGGTGTCAGAGGATGTACAGAATGTCTATGTACTGTACTGATAAAGTCACTGGATGGTGAAACATCTACAAGTAAAGATACCCAGATGTTGCATATGTGTCTAATTCATCTTGTCGGTGCTGAATACTACCGATGTTCAACTTGTTAGATACAGCAACATCGTGGAATCTTAATGAAGGGGACATGACCACAACATACTTGCTAACAACTGGTCCAACTCTTGGACATGACCCACTTCAACTGGGAAATCCCGCCTACCAGCGACAGTGTCTTTGTCTGCTACACGACCTCTGACACCAGTATATAAGCAGCAGTCTTCCTGCCTGTGCTTTAGAATGTTGAAGACTAGGGTGCTCATCACCTGCTCCGAGGCTGAGGGACTGATTACCTTATCTTCCACTAGTTTGCTGTATATATTTCTACAGTCTTCATGTTATGTCCATGTAATATAATGATAAAGCCACTGGATGGTGAAACATCTACAAGTAATAATATGTACCCAGATGTTGCACATGTATCTAATTCATCTCCAGTAGAACGTGTCTAGCATGGACCAACAAAAACCTGCCTAATATGAACCAGTAGGCCTACTTCAGAGCTCCTCTAGTCACATGATATGTGGCAGTAAGAAAAAATAACAGACCTGTAGATCTAGTGCAATCTTACACACTGTACCTGGTTTCTGTGGTGTGGGTGTTGGAGGTGGAGGTGTAGGTTCTCTCTCGCTCTGTTCTGCCAGGTACTGTTCAGGAGACACAGCAACAGGTACATCCTCACCATTGTTGTGGCTGAACTCCCCGCTACCGTGGATGTCTTGTGACGGCAATCCTGAAACAAAATAACTACTGTAATACAGACTAAATATCTTCACGGAAAAGTGTTAAAACTGAAGAGGAATGGGAGTTAATTGAGTTTGAAATATGGACTGGGAGGGCAGTTCCAATTCCTTCAATCAAAAGACTTTAACTAGCCTCATGGCACCACCATTGAAGGAGTTATACATAGTATGTTATTTAATATATATATCTTAGTAACCTGGTTGATCAGCCAACAAGAAAGTCTGTTCTTGGGTCAGACTGTGAGACTAAGATTATAATTATTATTATTACTGTTGTTGTTGGGGTTGTTAATCCTTTGTTATTCTTATAACCTGAATGGGACTCACTCACTGATAATTTATAAAGCCCTATCATAGAACATGAAGTATGGTGCCTATAGCCAACAGAAGAGGTCTTTGTCTCTCTCAGGGAACCAATCAGAGCGTCATAACTCCTTCCTGGGGAGAGTGAGAAAGCCAGGCATGAACACTGTAGTTCTTGACCTGGGAATAAGGTGGTTCCAAATCACTTTTAAACAGCAATAATGGCTGTTTAGATTAACTTCAGAAAGGAATAATCTATAACATATTAGAATCACATTTAAATTCCTCCATTATTTCAATGATAAATTTTAGTTCAACTTGTAATAAGATATTACAAGGATGCCAATGGAAATAAGTCACTGACTTTTTTTTGGGGGTTATCCTGGGTAATTTATGTGTTACCATATACAGTGGTACCTCGGGATACCAACACCTCGAAACTTGAACAATTATGCAAGTGAATTTATGTAAGTGCTTTTGTAAGTGTATTTTTGTGGGTCTGAAACAGATTCATCTAATTTACATTATTCCTTATGGGAACAAATTTGTTCGGTATCGGCACTCGAACAGCCTTCTGGAACGAATTAAGTTCGTATCTCGAGGTACCACATTATACCTTATGGGAACAAATTTGCTCGTAACGGCACTCGAACAGCCTTCTGGAACGAATTAAGTTCGTATCCCGAGGTACCACATTATACCTTATGGGAACAAATTTGCTCGGTATCGGCACTCGAACAGCCTTCTGGAACGAATTAAGTTCGTATCCCGAGGTACCACTGTATATGATAATTTGTGTAACTGTATTTATGTGTACCTGTATCTAAATAAACTTAAAGGCCACAAAGGCACAAACTGTACTGAGCTCTACCTCTTGGTTCCTGGTGATTAGGAGAGTTATCCACCATGGAAGAAAAGATATAATAACACGTGTTGGGATTTTTAACCCAGAGGGTTAGCTACCCAGGATAACCCAAGAAAATCAGTGCACCATCAAGGACTGTGTCTTATTTCTATTGTGATCCTTCAATCTTGTTCCCCAGGATGCCACCCACACCAGTCCACTAACACCCAGGTACCTACTTACTGCTAGGTGAACAGGACAGCAAGTTTAAGGAGATATTGTAACCCTATATAAGATAGAAGTTCAGAGAAGCCTGGTTAGAGATTGTGCAGGCAAGAAGTCAGCAAGAATGTAGTTGGGGGCAGCAATGAAGCTGACTAACTAGTCCCACAGTGTTGAGGAAGGTGTAAGTAAGAGAGAGAATCTCAAGAGGGCGCTGTGATGGATATATGTGGGGCAGCGGGCCTCCAGCAGCAACAGCCTGGTTGACCAGGTGAGCACCAGACGAGCCTGGCCCATGGCCGGGCTCAGAGAGTAGATATACTCTCGAAATTCTTTAAAGGTGTATCAAAGGCCAGGGGTATCATGGCCAGTTCCATCCAGAAGAGGCTATAAGAGGCATCTCATGCCCAATAGGGAAAGGTGTTCAGAGAGATGCTTGTGAGAAGAATGAACCAGGACGAGAAAGAATATAGTATATTCTCCATTATATCCAACCGGCTGAAAGCTATTATTTAATTTTTATTTAAAAAAATAGATACATCAGCAGTGTGGTGCTACCTTATTGTATATGATAGGTACACCGTGGGAACAAATTATTATTATTATAATCAAGGGGGAAGCGCTAAACCCAGAGGATTATACAGCGCCTGGGGGGGGATGTGGAAGGCATTCAGGCTTAATTCGGGGAACTGGAGCACAGTTCCAATTCCCTAAATCAAGAGCCCCTCACCAACATCAAGGAACCTTCCTTGAGGGGCCGTGGGAACAAAAAGATAGCTATGTTTGCCTGTCACATTCCATCAAGCAGGATGATGCTCGGATGAGGTACTGAAATAAGTCAGCTTGAGCTGGCTGATACACCGCTTACTGGTGGGGAAGCCAACCATCCTGAGACTGTGGTGAGGAACCATAAGTCTGGAGTGACCCAAAAGAAAACCCATCAGGGCTGCCTTCAGTGCCCGAGAGGGCTGTCATACCCAAGAACAAGGACCCTAAATTAAAGACCTTTACTTTTGATATACCTCTGATAAGTTGTGAGTTTTTCTACTCCTGGAGCCTGGCCATGGACCAGGCTCGTCTGGAGCCAAACACAAGAGTTTTATTATTATATACTATTATTATTATTATTATTATTTACAATGGAAGGCATGCAGAAGCAGGTATCATATTTCTTGTGCAGTATTTAATACTGAGCTGTCAGCAGTAAACTGGTGTGAACGGTGACCCACTCCTGTGGAGACATGTACAAATTAAGGCATTATATAAGGAAATATTTCACCGTGTGCGAGACTTGGGAGTAATAATGTCAGAAAATCTCACAGTCAAGGATCCAACAATGTTGTCATTCCCACCACAAGGAAACTAATAAACTAGATAACTCGTACTTTCAAGACAAGAGATGCTGAGCCAATGACGATATCTAAGTCATTTGTTCTCTCCAGGCTGGAATACTGCTGCATAATAACAGCTACCTTCAAGTCAGGTGAGATTGCTGAGCTGGAAAAAGTAAACAGAAGTTTCTCTGCCTGTATACCCTCAACATGTAAACTACTGGTGTCAGTAATGTCAGTGTCACATAGCCAGTATGAATACCATTAGTACTGTGTATGCAATATTCGCTCTTATAGTGAGACACTGTTACGGTTCTCAGTTGTCTGGTTGATCAGATCTTGAACCTCCAGGCAGCCTCTGGTCTGGACTAACCCACCAGAAATATCCTTCAAATGTGGCTTCTTTAACCCTCATAGTCAGCCAGATGCTACCCAGGGTAAAACATGCCCCTGTTGTCTTCAACTGTACATACAAGACAGTACCCACAGCTTGTGGGTGAGTTTACTCACAGCTTGTGGGTGAGTTTACTCACAGCTTGTGGGTGAGTTTACTCACAGCTTGTGGGTGAGTTTACCCACAGCTTGTGGGTGAGTTTACCCACAGCTTGTGGGTGAGTTTACCCACAGCTTGTGGGTGAGTTCACCCACAGCTTGTGGGTGAGTTTACTCACAGCTTGTGGGTGAGTTTACTCACAGCTTGTGGGTGAGTTCACCCACAGCTTGTGGGTGAGTTTACTCACAGCTTGTGGGTGAGTTTACTCACAGCTTGTGGGTGAGTTCACCCACAGCTTGTGGGTGAGTTTACTCACAGCTTGTGGGTGAGTTTACTCACAGCTTGTGGGTGAGTTTACCCACAGCTTGTAGGGGAGTTTACTCACAGCTTGTGGGTGAGTTTACTCACAGCTTGTGGGTGAGTTTACCCACAGCTTGTGGGTGAGTTTACCCACAGCTTGTGGGTGAGTTTACCCACAGCTTGTGGGTGAGTTCACCCACAGCTTGTGGGTGAGTTTACTCACAGCTTGTGGGTGAGTTTACTCACAGCTTGTGGGTGAGTTCACCCACAGCTTGTGGGTGAGTTTACTCACAGCTTGTGGGTGAGTTTACTCACAGCTTGTGTTGAGTTCACCCACAGCTTGTGGTGAGTTTACTCACAGCTTGTGGGTGAGTTTACTCACAGCTTGTGGGTGAGTTTACTCACAGCTTGTGGGTGAGTTTACCCACAGCTTGTGGGGGAGTTTACTCACAGCTTGTGGGTGAGTTTACCCACAGCTTGTGGGTATTACCATACAAGAGTCAACCCTGACCTCAGATGCAGTATGATCCCTATGGGTTTACCTCTCTCCATGAATTAAAAATAACCAAGCCTCACCCTCCCCCTCCTCTTCCGAGAGAAACATTAGTGTGACCCCATGCAGGACCATTGTCAAGCCACAACTGAGGCGAGAAAGTAGAGAAGGTCAGAACACACTAGGGAAGAGGTGAAGGGGCAAGAAGGGAATGTTAATGATGAATGATGATGAAGTTGACCACGGTGATGATGATTTATTATAATTATTGGAGGAGGAGGAGGAGGAGGAGGAGGAGGAGGAGGTGGAGGTGGAGGAGGAGGAGGAGGAGGAGGAGGAGGAGGAGGTGGAGGTGGAGGTGGAGGTGGTGGAGGTGGTGGAGGTGGTGGTGGTGGTGGTGGTGGTGGTGAATGAATGAATTTGCGGATGAGAAGAGACAGGCAAGGGCAAGGAGAAGGTGTTGCTGTGTGCTTCTCTAAAAGTGTTCATGCCCAGCACATTGATGTTGCCACCCCTACACATCTTGAAATGATGTTCTTCAAGCTCTGTATAAACACTAGTACCTCTGTACTAGCATGTGCAATGTACAGACCTCAGTGGCAACATAAACACTAGTACCTCTGTACTAGCATGTGCAATGTACAGACCTCAGTGGCAACATAAACACTAGTACCTCTGTACTAGCATGTGCAATGTACAGACCTCAGTGGCAACATGCAGACCCCATCAACTTCCTAATGGAAAATATTGACTCCCTTCTGCTACAACATAACTGTCAACATATCATAATTGTTGGTGACCTCAACCAGCACCTTATACAGAGGGACTTTGATGACCTTCTTGCAGTGTTTGACATGAGAAACTTTGTTGATTTCCCTACTCACATCTCTGGCTCCTCCCTTGACCCAGTAGTGAGTGATCTGGCAGAAGGCATAGTCACTTGTCAACCCCTCGGCTACGTTGGATCGTCTGACCACAAGGCTGTTTTTACCACACTTAAGATC